CCATCCGATCCTGGGAGACCGTTACCCGTACCCGTTCGTTTTTCAGAGAGGCAAATTTTCGGCTGGCCATACCCGTCCGTGGTTACGGGTAGACATTACCCGAACGGATACGGTTAGCCATTTGTGACCTCTGCTCTGGGCTATGACTGACGATGGTGCGCTTTCTGCGGGCTGGTTTGGCAAGTTTATTCCTCAAAATCGATGCCCTTATATCCTGCGAGACCTATATTGCTGCAATATTGACACAGTCAGCAAGAGTGCCAAGTTGTGGAAGCTGGGAGCTGTCGCTGCCATACTTCAAGGGGGATTCTTCGCAGGGTGGTCGGTGTCTAACATCATCTCATTCGATGAAATGGTACTTCCTGCAACGTCCAGCACAATCACACTCGTATGTTTATGTCGGACAAGCCGCACCGCTATGGTATCAAGCTGTTCATGACAGGCGACGCAGTGTATGCTTACTGTCATAGGTGCGCTTTATATATTAATATGTTCTGCAAAGTCGTAGCTCCGACTTGATGGTTTGACACATGCATTAAGTTGCTACTTACGATTTTAAATTTGTGGGGAAGCGTCAAATCTATGAAGGAACAAGTCAGGCGTTTGACCACAAGACGGGAGAAGATGCAGTAATTTGAATTTTGAAGGCTGTGTCGGATGGGAGTGATTCCGGGTTTCGTATCATTGTTGTCGATATATTCTACACCTCCGTTGCGCTCGCCATCCAACTACTTTCCATGTCGGTCTACATGACTAGAGCGATCATGACGTCCAAGCTGGGGCTCGACAGGCAGATCGCTGAACGACGGAAGACATGATTAGCCACAGTAGAGCGTAGATTATTCAAGTTGTCAAGGTCGATGACGGTACCCACTATGGTTGCATGCCACTAGTGGGACCACACGCCAGTGTACTTCCTGGCCACTAGTGTGTCAATGGCCAAAGATGCCATCATGAGAAACCGGAAGGCGGTGGAGCGGTCGACGTTCGGCTGTTTTAAGTTGGTGACGGTTTGCCAGTGCTGAATGGGCGGAGTTAATGCGCTTGATCAGCTCCACCATCAAACTTTCTCCGTCCAGACTTCTTTCAGGTTCTGAAAGTACTACGAGGGTCTGCTCTTATGTATGTTTGACCTAGCGCTAGTCAACGCGTGTTTTGACACACAAGGATGCCTGCCGACTCGACGGTGTCGCCCCGATGAAGCGCGTGAACTGGTACAAGATGATGCACAAGCAGCTCACGCAGATCATGGAAGAAGACTTCAAAAGCAGCAGTTCTGTCACCGTTTCCGATAACGCCCAAGAGCCGCCACTACCTTTGCCATGTGTAGTTGCAGCTCAATGATTGGGTAATCGTTTCGGGCGTTCAAAAGCGGCGCTAGCGCTCCTAAAAGGAGTACTCCCTCTATCGAGGTGAGCAAAAGAAAAGTTACCAGACTTCTTACTACTGAGAAGACTGTTCGCAGGGCGATGCAAATTGCTTCCTCTGTCCCAAGGCGCGCCGAGGCACGGATATTAAACGTGTTTTCAAGTGTGGCACGACGCCTTCGGGTGTGACGCGTCGACTCCGAGTCACCTAGGAAAACGTGTCGCTCTGCGCCGTGCCCCCAAGACCGCAGGGGTGCACAGGAAGTCAGGCCCAAACATTTTGGATGAGGAGAAAGACGAGAGCTAGTGGGTCTTCCGTACGGTCTCCAGCAATGCTTGCTAATGCATTTTGTTGGGTTTCATATGATTACTGTGTTGTGTAGTTCCGGATATGACTATGTTTGTAGGTTGTATACCGATCACATAAGGTCGACTAAGTTGTAAATGCGAGCTTGTAAATTAATTATACTGATGCTGACTAAATACTCTGTACTCAATTGCTTCTGCAAGTTATAAGGACTAAAATAATAGATATACAGCTGTTTTGTTGTAAAAATATTATAATTTTTCTGAGTGTAAGGTTACTGCCAAATCGTAGTACATGTACAGCAGAAGCTGGCCGTATGTCGTAAGTGTTACTGATGCTGAGGTGCGTCTTAAGTGTTACGACGTAGAAATCGAAAACCTCTATTTTCTTATAGTCCCATCTCAATGATCAGCCGAGTGAAAAAGACGGCTATATACAAACATCTAAATAATGTTAAGCTGTAAGCTACGACGTAAAATAAGGTGTGCGTGGTCCGAATTCGCGGTAATAAAGGGGCAATCTACTAGAGCTAATGTTCGCCGCCCAAAGTGTCATACGGGAGTGTCATATGCACTTTCTAAATTTAGCTTTAAGTATAAATAGTGCACAAGCAAAATGTCGATGATTCCTGATGTACGTCAAAGAGTTACGTGAGAGAGCATTTTGAAGGGACGGTGGTGGGCACAATGTACGTATTTCATCTATCGAAGGCCTTGACATATCAGCCCTTATGGCGGTTTTGGGCGGCGTCCTCTTACTTACAACGGCACAGTACTCAAGTACCGGTGGTATCAAGAATGGCTTGACTTTGAAATAGGTAAGTCGCTGGTGCTTATGTTACGAAAGCAGTGTCTTATTGGCTAAAATAACATCGAGTCACTGATAAATTAGGTAGAAGGACTGCGTGGGCATCAGGGGCTTCACCAAACTGAGGTAATTCCAACAACTTAATACCCATCTATTAAAAAGTGTTACGCTATTTTGGAGGGCCATCCAAAGCACCGATTATCTTGAGGGTCGCACGATAAGTGAAATGATTTGCAATGCTTATTTAGAAAGGTTCACCATAAAAAAGGAGCTGCACACCACACTAAAAATATGGGAGGTTTCACAAAAAGCATCGTTGAATCCACAAATAAATATAGCATTTTCACAACACCGTTGGATTAATTACAGCACTATAACACAAGAATATAACTACGTAGCCCTCGTTTTCAAGCACGCAGCATGGATGATGAACGCGGCGGTCACGTTGGACGCCTGCCATGGCTTAAAGTGTGGAGTTCAGGAGACACTGTTTCGTATAGCGACTTTTTAGCGGGTCTGCCAGCCTTTTCCCGACCGACTAGTGAGCTACATCACTGCACAATAGATCACATCTCTCGCTACGAGGACAACTTAGCGACTACCTGGCATGAAATGCGTTACATAGTTACAAAGTGTACCTTAAAGCGTTGCAAGGCGTCTGGAGAAGCCTGCCGCTGTCGGTACAAGCTACTAGAATGCCAAGAAAGTGACGGCAAAATTGTATTAGAGCAAGGCGTACACATCATGGCTGAAGATGCACCGCCTTCACCTACAACAGCTAAGCTAAATCCTGCAATGAAAGCCTATCTGGACACGAGGCTGGAAGACACACCTTCTATTGTGGCCCAAGCTTTGTACTCGTTTCTTTGTCGTGAGATAAGAGACCGGCGCATTATAGGGCCCGCTCCAGAGCTAGCCAAGGTGCAGAACTATCAAAAAAGTTGGCGGCGCAAAAATCGGCCGGACTCAATGGAGCCTGTGCTAGAAATTTGTCGACAATGCATGTATGATTGTGTAGATTCTCGTAGAGTTTGGGATCAAGATCCGAATTCTTTGCGAGTTTTTTGCGATACCAAAGTGGTGGATGGTGTAATTGAACCAGCTCTTGGCACCGGTGCGCTAGGGAATCCATTTCGTATTGGGTTAACATGTACAAGACTACTTGAGAGCTATGTGGATGTGCAACAAAACCCGGATCTTTCAACAGTTCTTCATCTAGACACTACGCACGACTGCGTAAAGCAGAAATACCCTGTTTCTGTTGTGGGTATTTCAGATCGTGCTGGAAGATTCCAGCCAATTCTTTACTGCTGTACATCACAACGTCGCAATGAAGACGTTGCTTGGTACTTGGCGTTTTTAAAGCGTGTGATTCTGGAATTGTTTAACGTGCAATTTTCGCCCGACTTTGTCATGATGGACGCTGACAAAGCTCAGTACAATGCCTGCACAACTGAATTACCTGATAGCACGGTCCTAATGTGCTGGTTCCATGTTACACAAAATGTACAAAGACAAACGCAAGAATCAAAGCTGGATGGGATATCAGTTCAGTTGATTTTTCGAAATCTGTATGATTTGCACTATGCTACCGATGAAGAGCACTATCTGCGTAAACGAGAGTTTGTTGTGAGGTCATGGCGTGGAGCGGGTACAATATGTCCTCGGTTTCGACGTGTGACAAATCACATTATTTCGCAGTGGATACTAGGCGCCCGCTTTTCACGCTGGCAAGCTTATCGTACCCCCACAGGGTACGCGGCTACTAACAACCCGCTTGAGCAGTACCACTACACATTAAAACTAGTCAATGACAGCAAACGGGCTAACCCGGCAGAGCTTGTTGTCCGCCTGGATTTGTCACGAATTTCGTTTATCGCCTCAATGCAACCCTTTTGCGATCAGCCTACTGTATCCAAACGTTTACTGGCTGCTTACAGAAGGACTGATAAAAAGAAGGTCATGACTGCAGAATTGATTCACCGAGACAACAATTTAGTTCTGGTTCGTGTCGCACCATCTCCGCTTCCCACGAGCTCTTCACAAGAGCCAGAAGAATCTGTGCATGCTCTTGCTGCAAATCCTAAAAAGCCGTGTACGTACGAGGCCAAAAACTACGCTAGAATTAGCTGGGTCAACATGCCCGTCGGTGGATGGATTGTTGATGCTACTGCACGCACATGTTCGTGTCTGTGCTTTAAGAAAGCTGGGATATGCCTACACGTTGTTAAGGCAACCGAATTTTCTGGGCTGGCATGTCCAGGTATGCCAGCTCCTTCGCAAAGATTTGTGCGGCCGGCACAACAATCGCGCACTGCAGCTCGGCGGATAGGGAATTGCGACTTAGATACAGACAATAACGAAGGTGGCCCAATAGAGCCTCAAGGTGCTATGTACGGGCCACCTACACTTGCTGCTTCCATGGAAGCTGCGACTCGTAGAGAACTCGGGCGTCATTGAACTGGACGGGGAATAGGTCGTCTACGACGTGCCTGGCACTCTTGACGGAATCGCGATCGATGGATTGGTCCCCACGTGCACTTCGCTGGCTGCTGCTGGACACGCGTGCGGACCCAGTGCGTGTGGAGATCGTTGCCGTCTTGACTGGCACTCTTGACGGAATCGCGGTCGATGGATTGGTCCCCACGTGCACTTCGTTGGTTGCTGCTGGACACGCGTGCGTGCATTCCTCATCCAGCGACTACGTGGAGATCCACACGCCCAAGCTGGTCGGTGGCGCCTCGGGGAGCGGAGCCAACTACTTCACACTCAAGTACTTCGACCAGGACGCTACCTTGGCTCAGAGTCCGCAGACGTACAAGCATATGGCGTGTGATGTTGCTAGTCTCGAGCGCGTATTCGAGATCGGCCCGGGCTTCCGTGCTGAGACCTCGAGCACGCAACGTCACATGTGCGAGCTCGTGGGTCTGGATCTGGAGATGACTATTAAGGCGCACTACCACAAGGTGCTGTAGGTGTTCTCAGACCTATGCATCTACATTTTCGATGGCTTCAAGAAACGTTACGCCAACAAATTGGCTTCTATCAACGAGTAGTACCCGTTCGAGCCGCTCAAGTACAACAAGCCGTCGCTTATCACCAACTTCTAGGAAGGTGTCAGGATGCTGAAGGAGGCTGGCGCTGACCTGAAGACGATCTGAGCACAGAGAAAGAGAAGTGGCTGGGTCGTCTCATCAAGGAGAAATACGACACAGACTTCTACATCCTCGACAAGTTCCCGCTGGCTGTGCGTCCGTTCTACACGATGCCAGACCCGACGGACAAGCGTTGGAGCAACTCGTACGACATAATGATCCGAGGCGAGGAGATGGTCTTGTATGCTCAGCATGTGCACGATCCCAAGCTGCTGATGGAGCGTATGGACGAACTGGGTGTGCCTCAGGAGTCGATGCGCAACTACATCTACTCTCTCCGTCTTGACTCTCTGCCCCACGGTGGCGGTGGTATTGGTCTGGAGCGTGTGGTCATGTTGTACTTGGGTCTGGGCAACATCAGTAAGTCCTCCATGTTCCCGCGTGACCCCAAGAGGTTGCTCCCTTAAGCCTCTCGTCGCTAGAATGGCGTCGTATTGTTTGTAGCGGGCTCTCATTGAATAAGGATAATGCAAAAACCAAGTACTGTCAACGACGATATCCTGAGGTCTTTGTCGTTCGATTAGCAAGATTAACGTTACACGTAGCACGTTGCGCACACATTACTCTGTTGTCGACTACACATACTCTACGTAACTAGAATGCCTCAGTATTTACTCATACTGTCGAACTATAGGCGGGTACAGGTTCTGGATCGTCATTGCGGCTCACGACACAACCTACATGATCACACAGCCATAGTGCATGTACACGTAATTCTGTGCTGCAAAAAATTGTGTGAAACTTAGCAAACTTGCTGAGTGGGCACGGACTATCTTTGTATTTGACGTCATACAAGCATTACCTAGCCTTTTTCAAATGATCCAACTTCCTAAAGCTCTGTAGTGACGACTACAATCATAGAAATACCTCCAGTTATGATTACTTCAAAGTGCTATGGAGCCGTCAATGCACGCTGTGTATAAACCTCTACATATAATGTCGGATCCATGTTGGTGGTATCTTCATTTGAGTTGGTGTAGAAGTCCTCTTTGCAGGTGCTCCGCGCATATGATCAGGGTTTGACTACCAAACAGCTGGTGCGTGTCAACTCCTAAACTAGTAGTGTGTTGCTCTTCCTGTCAGTGGCCAACACCACCATAAGAGTGTGGGTTTAATCAACTGTAGTGATTCAATCTTATCCTCGCTATTTTGAAATGTTTTGGATTCTCTTAGTGCGAGCAAGAGGTCCAGTAGCGCTAGATGGTGAGCGGCTGCATAGCTAGCGATAACGAGCAGAGACTGCAGAAGGGTCCGGGGACGCTGAAGAAGGGTCTGGGGTCGCTAAAGAAGGGTTTGGCGACGCTGGGTGGGATGTTCCTCCTCACCAGGTAAAAGGTGATTGAGTATTTGAAGTAGGAGCAGCTGCCTGTACTGTTCTTTGGCGTTTTCGTCGCTCGAAGGGGAGTACTCGAGCCCACGTAGAGTTTGCTTCGCGGACAAGACTAACACAGTGGTCAGTGTGATATGGGTCCTCTGCGCTTACGCTGGCTGGGCTTTAATCTCAACGTTCCGAGCCCACATGAAACCAGTCAATGACAAGGGGCTCATCGCGTATAGCTGGTATTGGTGTGGTTGTTCCTCTTTAAAAATATCAGCAGTTATATGCCTCATCATCATCGATCATTCCGACATCGCTGCCTTTTTCTTGGGTGTGTCCAGATCTTCGGAGGTAATTTCTTTAAAAGGAGGGTATTCCCTTCTAGTATTGCCGAACCACCACAGTTTCCATGCGCCAAGTGGATCAAAACTAGATAAATCTAAATCTTTTGGAACCTTGTGAGATTTACCACCCTAGGTAAAATATCGAGGCAATTCATTTGGGCGTGGGTTTGCTGCTGCTGCTTGAGTACGCTGCTGAAGCCCCACTTCTGCAAGAAGTGCTTTTATCTCCTTCCGGAGTAGGTCTATAGTTATATTACCCGCTGATACACCTTTTTCTTCCTGCACTTTCTCTATTCTTCTCTCTGGCATGTCGCTAATCGATTTTTGCTGATAATTTCCACAAGAGATCGATATGCGGGGGTATCCCTGTGGGCGCCATCCGAGACAATTCTCCATTTTCCAGCTCCAACTTTAATGTATGCTCGTGAAGTAGATCCGGGTTGGCAAATAAATTTGTTGACAGCAGCGGATGACTACTTGGCAAATTGTCGATCAGAAGTGAGGCGTGGTGTACTAGCGATGCCAGACATAGTCGCAGAATACTGCCAAAGATTTTTCGAGCGCGAGACCAGGGGACATATTCTCGACCGCTGATTGGATCATACCATCCGAGTTATTGAGGCGGAAGTGCTGCAAACTTCGAGTCAATTTACTGGTAAACCTGCAGCAATGCGTCCTAAATTTTGTCCTCCAGCCGATTCGCTCCGAAAGTATCTGTCTTGGACACCACAGAGAGCCAACCACACCGAAGGCAGGCACTTACTATGGAGGGCCCACCTTTACTCCCACCGCATGGAAGTGGCTACACCTTTTTCTTAATGAGTGAGTGCCATAGAATTTACCAACTCCACTCTTGACGAGAAGACTACGGAGGGCCTTGCCATATCTAACTTTTGGATCCGAGCCGGGAAATAGTTGGCCTGGCTGCATGTGAGGGTTGCACGCCAAATAAATTCCAACCAGGACGTAGATGACCTAAACGCATTTGTATATAAGTGACGCGGGTCATGCGGTCCAGAGCCATCTTGATTTGTCTTTGTCTTGGAACATAAAGCTCCAACACTGTCATCTTTTTCAACCAAATGGTGCGTCTGAACGGATACTGATCTGCACATCAGATTTCACTGAGTCGTCAGAAAAGGGTGCGAGAAACTGCTGTCATTTCGACAGAGGGTAGATCTGCACAATTTCTTGTAGAGGAAAAAGTCAATGGGTGCTTGCCTGAGGGTTTTGGAGAGCTGGATTGGAGGTGCTTGATATCATCTCCGTATTCTACAGGGAGAGTAATGCGTTTTTGGCGGTAGAGATCTTTTATTGCACTGCAATATCCACTCAGAGTGACTTGGCTCGACTCCTTTTATACACCATATTTTTAACGAAGAACCTGGGGGTGAACTCAGCAAGATTAAAGCCGTCGCTGGAGTAAAAAATCTCGCACTGGCGTCGTCTTTTTTAAAAAGTTCTTCATGATCCACTTCGTGATTCCATTGATATTGCCGACGTACTTCTTTCTGGTCTTCGAGGCAATGCACGCGCTGCGTATTGCGGCGGCATCAGCATTCGCCGCCATAGCTTCTCGCAGAGGTCCCTCAATTAATCCATTATCAGCCGTCGTTCTGTTCTGGTTCAGCTTCAATTTCAGCCAATTATCTTAGCGCCATATCATCAGCGCTCTGCGCTTACGTTTTCGCGGAGAAATTCGATCTCTGCTAAGACCAATCATTTCGGAGTCGGAGAACACGATCATTAGGGAAAAGATAAGCCAAGTTTACGGGCTGACGAATACAACTTACGCAAGTAAAGAAAAATGGCTGAAGCTCAGATAGTAAGGTCTATTAATAGAAGATTTACAGCTTGCTGATGCAAACCAAAATGTTTAAGGAATTAGAGTTAGTGCGAACACCCCCCTTCTCAATATCTATGAGCTTTCTCAGCTGCGATCGCTCACTGAGCGATAAATTAAAACTGCCCTTGCAGCCTCAGCCGAACGATTACTGATTCGAGCTCTATATACCATCCTCCAGCTCACACCAACGGCTCACGACAATAAGTGTGTTTGCTACGATGTGATTGAGCGAGTATTGAATATACTAGTAAAACACTTATAACAATGCCGCCACCGAACCAGAATCACGGTTCTGATAATTTCTCAGAACCCCTAAGAATCAGGAACTGGGTTCTGAGAATTTCTGCTACATGTATTTGAAACTGTGGCTGAAGTTTCACATTTTCAAAATATGCGAAAAGACACATGAACCAAATAATATTTAGTTCATGTGTCTTTTCCAGTATCACCGATATAATATATCGGTGATACTGGATCATACCGAATCCGTCTGAAACCAAGAACTGGATTAGAGGCAGTTCTTAAACCTATAATTTAAACTACTCATGCCTTCCAGTCGACTTCGCTTCTTGTGCAAGTGCTATTTAGTCTCAATTCTCAACTCGAATCTTCAGTGATCGCTTTTTCATTTTTGTTTCTACTCACTATCCAGCTCTTTATACGACTGGAGAACATCAGTGCCGTCTACTACGAGAATTTCGTTCCGCACTCCGACTTCGACGTCGCCTTGAGTGCCGCGACGAGCGATGTTTATCCGACTTTCGGTCTTTTTTGTCCTTTTTCTTGTCCTTATCGTCTCGCGACGAGCGGTGTTTGTGGTGTTTCTTATGTTTTTTGCGCTTCTTCTTTTCTTCCTCTTTCCATCGTTTAGCTTCTCGAACGGAGACATTGTCAACACTCCCGGATCTCTTCCTGCCTCGCGTATCCTCATTCTTTCCTTCTTCACCGGATAAACTCGAATCCTCTGAGCTCAATTGACGTCGTTGACCTTCAACTGAGTTACGCGTCAACAATAAAGTCTTCGAAGTTGATCTAGCTGGATTTTCCAGTTGTTTCGCTTCAACTTGCACCTCATTGCGTTCTTCATCGTCACTTTCGTCTTCGCTGTCATCCTCACTGAGTTCCGACTCGTCCGAAGGTTCAAAAATGGATTTGAGCAAGTCTGTCGAAGCCTTTTCAACTGTTGGCAGTGCAGGTAGATCTCTGTCCTCATTGGACTCGACCGCTATTGTAAACTTCGAGCTCTCACCTGCACTAGCCTTTGACTGCCGTTGAGCAGCTCGATCGGCTGCAAATTCCATCAAATGCGGAACAATCTCCTTATCAAACAAGTCTGGCTTTTTATCGTCTTCATCACCCTTTCCGCTAGATCCTGTGGGTCCGGCACACTTAACGTGGAAGCGTTTGCACAGAAGTGACTTGGGAATCCACAAACTCTGCGACCTCCGCGACAGCGTAGCTTGAGGTTGTTCAGGAATAATTGCGTCATTTTTATCCTCGTCCAAAGTCGATTTTGACGACACAAATCTCTTTGCAATAGACGCAGAGATAGTAGCCCGAAACCCGACAGTCATTGGTGAAAGGCAGTGGTGGAGGTCATCACCACTGCCTTTCTTCAAGGGTTGTCGGGTATTTAGAGTTGTCACAGCGTCAACCTGATCTTCGTCGGCAAAGCGGTGATATGCCTTGAAGTCTGACGGTACAGAGAGACGCAAGTTCACTGCCTTGGGTGGCTTCTCCTTGGAGACCGCCAGCTCGAAGCCAGGCAGCACAACACGTCCATCTGAGCACAACTCTCGGCTGCGTCTCGTCTTTTCATACCGACGAGACTCTTGTGCCGATGAATCCAGTCGTTTAGCTTCTTTCCTAGCTCCAAGCGGAGCGATAACTCGGTCAAATTGGGACATAGACACCGTCCCGTACACGTCAATATCGTCGTTTTCTTCCAGGGCACTTAAGCCATATCCACTCGTCGCTCGATTACTGCCGTCCGTCGTCTTCAATGCGTCCAAGAACGAGACCATTTGACGATGAGACCCTTCTTTCTCCTTCACTTTCTCCTCCTGTTGCTGTCTGTGCATCGAGAACTCTGGTGCATCCCTATACGGGTCAAACCCTGCTCCATATCGATCCAACTTTGGCTTTGGAAAGGATTTCTGTACGTCAAACATCTTGCGAGGAGGCACATACACTTCTTCTTCTTGCAGTGGCTCCGTCTCTGTCTTCTCCTCACTTGAATCTAGCATCAGGAGCTTAACCTGCTCTGTATCTTTCTCGTCTTGGAATTTGCGTTTCCGAACTCGTTGTCCAATGCCGTGTCCTTCTTTCCAGCCCATCTGCTTAAGCAATTTGGCTCCAATAGAGTCGTTAACAGGCAAGACCCAGTCTTCCGGTAGCGAGAAGCCTGGGATAGCGGCTTCAGTTCGGTCAGGTTGCTGCTGAAGACGTCGTTTGGCTCCCGTTTGAAGCGTATCATAGTGCTCCGTAGTCTCCAGTCGTTTGCCCAGTAGAGGATCGTCCTCCTCGTCCATAAAATCCTCAGGACGTTGCTCTACCCGCGAAGAGCGGTTGTCACGGGAGGATGAGAAGGTTGTGGGGGTCCATCCTTCCTGGCTACCCACAGAATTGTAGTAACCGGCCGAGAAGCCACCTGTGAAGGCTCCGTGGAAGCGTCGACGGCCCTGTGCGTCCGTAACCTGCAAGATTTCGACCAATAAAACGACACAAATGCGTCAGGTGATGCACGCTGTTAGCTTGGGCTGAAGTTGCGTCGTAACAAGGCATAGCGAGGGCGAGAGAGGGAACGGAAGACGCACCTCCTGGTTGCGAACGCTTCCACGCTTCATTGGTATAAAATTTACTACAGTGAAAGATAGTCTAAAGTTTAGACTAACTTTTGGGTAACTTTAAAAATTATGTGGGTCCAGAGTGAAGCCATCCTGTACATGTACATGTACTTCGTGAAAGCGGCATTTAACGTCGTAACAGTATGGCGATCCCTTTTTCAGTTATGAACACACACGTAGGGCCTTTGAAGCTACTACTACTGCAAGTACCGTGGGGTGTTTTAATTAGGCAGCAGCAGTGCCAGACTGAGGAGGACTTGAATGTGAAATGCAGAGCGGACACGCCAGCGACTCGTTGAGTTTCGCGAGGATGCACTCGTCGTGGAAGCAATGGCCGCAGTCCAGCGTTGTCAGACCCGCCCTCACATGTTCGTCAGTCTTTTTGTTGACGCCTGAAGAGCCCCGTTTGCTGCTTGGCGCTGCTGGCACAATTGACACCGTGTCGTCGCCGACGAGCGCCTTGCGACAGAGAAAGCATTCCTCCGGATCTTGTGTCGGATCGTTGTCAAGAAAACTGCTTTCTCTTCCACCGATAGTAAGTCGCTCGCTCAATCGCATAAAATCCGAGCGATCAAAGACCATTCCTTCGAACAGGAATTCGTAGATCAGTTGCGGCAACTTGGTGGATGACACTGAGCACTCCAAGTTGCGGTTCTGCTTGGCCATACGCAACAGAGTCGAGAAATACGCCTGCAATTCAGACAATCGACCTGAGATCACACTTGGACTCCTTGATCGGAAAATGCGGCGACGTGGGAAGTGGTGCGCTGCGTACATGTAGAGCCACGGGCAATTTGACGGGCAAAAGTGGCCGTAGTCGAGCACACTGGCAACTGCTTCTTTGAGCTCATAAAATTCCTTAAAGGTCCTTGCCATCTCCCACGTTTGGTCAAGTGCTGTGTTGCTGATGCGCATGACGTAGCGGGGACTAGCCAGTTTGTTCTGGCCGGGCACCACAGCCTTGACAAATTCCACGTGGACGTTGTCCAGTAGCGTCTGCTCAAAAGTTTGCGTCGGCGTGAGGCGTTGCGTCTGTCGCTCCACACGGCGCTTGGGGAGCGAGAACGAGCGGCTCATTTGTTGCTCTTGGAGCGACTTGCGGCGTCGCAGCTTGGTCGGAGGAGCGATCGGCAACGAAATAGACTTGCGGAGGGCCATGAAGATCTACGAAGACGCTGCAGACAGATGAAGTTGATCGAAAAGCGCAGCGGAGATGTGATGGCGGTTGCACGGCACTGAACACTCGACAACCTATTAGCTCTGGGCCGGCTGGGGGCAATTGGAATGTGACTTTTCCAGCTGGGCGAGTCCACATTGGCACCGTGTGGTCGTTCCTCTATGGAAAAGGATCGCCAGCTGTATCCATCTTAAGGTATAGTGACTCCAAGATTAGTGATTCATAAATGGACAGAGCGGGCGCAGTACTATCTATTATGCAGTGGGTACGTTCGTATTCAAAGTCTCAGGTGTAGAAAGTAGGTCATTAAATGGCGGGATACAATGCTGGCTATTTTTAAAAGCCAGCATTTTCCAAGTGCCCTTCGTCGCAAAACCGAAAGAAGCTGACCACGTCGAGCTGTCGTCACTCTCGTGCTGTAAACAGCGCCCGTAATACAAGTATATCGGATACTCTGTGATGCAGTCCCGCCGCGGAGGCTCAAGCTTAAAATCCTCTGCCGTTCGGGAAGGATCGAGCGGGGTGGTCTGTTGGCTGCATGCACCTCTATTATAGACCTTAAATTAGAGCACCCAGCTCAACGCGTTCAACTCAATCTTGGTGCTCAGAGCTCAACAGTAGAGTCTAATGTATCCATGTTAATACATGAAGTGTTTATGGCTATGAGCTCGGAGCGAGAGGCGTATTCAGCGCCTGTATTTCAGGCTTGCCGTTTGCTTGTGCTATCATGGCTCGCCCATTGTGATAATTGGGCCCTCGCTTCCGGGGCTCGTTTGCGAGCCGACAATGTGCCTACCTGCATAACCCACTACAACTGGAGTTCTATCATCCGAAGTCGAGGTCGATCTTCACTATTTGGCTGTCGACTAGCAAAAACGACTTACCGGTGCACGTTTTGAATTTCTGATTCATGGATATTTTTGAAGGGCAATCAGATTCCAAACTATAATAGTTTTGGGCGGAAGCTTTTTTTTTGAAAACCGGTAGCAGCAAAGCCAATGACAGCATGTTGGTGGATACATTGGCTGCCTGCGTCGGTGAATAATGGTCATGGCACTGGTAGCCGCTTGCTACTTCTAACGGTTTTTTATCGTAAATTTTACTACGAAGCAAGTAGCGAGCCGGATAAAAATCCATGTCATGATGATCTCGTGTATTAATCGATGCCTGTATGTGGGAGCCAAGAGCAACGGATACAAAGGCTTACATCGCCGTGTAATCCCCTCCACCAGTATCGCTGAGGTCGGCAAACAGATTCTCTTCGTGCTGGCGAGCGAGCGCTTTCTGTCTGAATAGCACAGCACCGACGACAACAGCCACGAACACTGCACACGCGATGACGATTCCCGCGATTGCCCCTGCACTTAGGGCGTCGGTGGGGTTGCTGTCAGTGATAGCCCCATCGGCACCTGTATTCGCGTTGGCAGTGCCAGCTGTTGACGTACCTGCGGAGGGTGTCGTTGTTCCTCCTGTTGTCGTTGTTGTCGTTGACGACGTGCCTCCCGTCGTAGTAATTTCCGTCTTTCCGGATGTCGATGTCCCCGCAGTAGTCGTTCCTGACGTTTTCCCCGTGGTTTTGGACCCTTTGGTGACTCCATTTGCTGCTTTCTTCGAGTGTGCCACGCAGCCATAGACGCCTGCATTGAGCAGTGAACAGTACGTACCCCTGGGGCAGTCGCCGTCGCTCACGCGTTCTACACACACGTGATTCGAGACGATGCAGACGTCGTGGTTCCATCCGACAACGCTGATAGTATGTTCGTTCGTAGAACATCCTTCGCCATCCTTGCATCCGTATACACCAGTGTCAAACCAAGTACAGTGAGCACCATTCGGACAGCCACCGTACTTGCTGGCACTGCAGATGTTGCCCGAGTTGACGCATCCGTCGCGGTCCCAACCAGCTACACCGATGCTCTGTTGCCCACCAGGGCATGTCACGGTTGTACCTGCTGCTGGTACCCCATCATAAGGGCGTGTTGGGGCTGGAGTCGAGCTGTCACGGCAGCCGTAGGCACCATTGTCAAGCAAAGCGCAGTTTGCACCATTGGGGCAATCACCGTCGCTGACCTGGCCTGCGCACACGTGATCCGAGGTAATGCATACGTCGTGGTCCCAACCAGCTACACCGATGATCTGTTGTCCATCGGGGCATGTCACGGCCGTATCTGTATCGTAAGGGGCCGTAGGTGCTGGAGTCGGGCTGGTAACGCAGCCGTAAACGCCATAATGAAGCAATGCGCAGTAGGCACCACCAGGGCAATTACCGTCGCTCACCTGGCCTGCGCACACGTGATCCGAAGCGATGCATACGTCGTGGTCCCAACCAACAACGCGAATAGTACTTTCGTTACTAGAACATCTTTCGCCATCCTCGCATCCGTACACATTCGTGTTGAGCCAAGCGCAATGAGCACCAGTTGGGCAATCGCCAAACGTCTTGGCAATGCAGACGTTACCGGGTTTGACGCATCCGTCGCGGTCCCAGCCAGATACACCAATGCTCTGTTGGCCACCGGGGCATATCACGGTTGTATCTTCGTCATAAGGTCGTGATGGGGCTGGAGTCGAGCTGTCAACGCAGCCATAGGCTCCATTACCAAGCAGCGCGCAGTTGGTACCACTGGGGCAGTCGCCATCGCTCACCTGGCCCACACACACATGATTCGAGGTAATGCATACGTCGTGGTCCCAGCCAGCTACACCGATGATCTGTTGTCCATCGGGGCATGTCACGGCCGTATCCGTATCGTAAGGGGCCGTGGGTGCCGGAGTCGAGCTGGCAACGCAGCCGTAAACGCCATAATGAAGCAATGCGCAGTAGGCATCACCGGGGCAATCGCCGTCACTCACCTGGTCGACACAGACGTGATTCGATACTATACACCCATCGTGGTCCCAGCCAACTACGCCGATGGTAAGCTCATTGCTCGAACATCCTTCGCCGTCCATGCATCCAAACGTGCCAGTGTTAAGCCAGGCGCAGTGCGCACCATTCGGACAGTTACCAAACGAATTGGCAACGCAGACATTCCCGGAGTTGACACATCCGTCGTGGTCCCAACCAGTTACACCGATGCTCTGCTGCCCGCCGGGGCACGTCACGGTAGTATCGGTTGGCACCCCATCGTAGGGGCGTGTTGGGGCTGGTGTGGCGCTTGCCACGCAGCCATATACACCCGTGTCAAGCAGCGCACAATAGGCCCCACCGGGACAGTCGCCGTCGCTCACCTGGTCGACACAGACATTATCCGAGGCGATGCACCTGTCTTGGTCCCAGCCGACTACGCCGATAGTGTGGCTGTTGCTGGAACATCCTTCACCGTCTTTGCATCCGTATACTCCCGTGTCAAGCCAAGCGCAATGAGCACCATGCGGGCAGTCGCCAATCGTGTTGGCAACACAGACGTTGCCCGAGATGACACATCCGTCGTGGTCCCAGCCGGCCACACCGATGCTTTGCTGTCCTATCGGACATATCGGATACTCATCGCTGGGCCTTGTCGGAGCAGGAGTCGGCTCTTCTTCCTTAGTCGGAGCTGGCGTAGGCTCGGACGGCTTAGGAGTACTATCATGTGGTGGCGCTGTCGTGTCTGCCGGGGGCTTTGGAGATGGTGTCATGTCTGTCGGGGCTTCAGAATCCGCTGGTGGTGCAGTGGTATCCTCTGGAGGCGTTGTCGGGTTTTCAGGGGCTGTAGTATCCTTTAGTGGAGCTGTAGTATCCTTTGGGGGCGTATCTGTATCTCCCGGGGCTAACGTATCGTTTGGAGGTGCAGTGGTGTCTTCCGGAGCTGCAGTATCCTTTGGAGGTCGAGTTGTATATGGGCCTTGTGTCGGTGCGGCTGTTGGTTCGTCGGTGTACGACGGAAGATTTTCTTTGAGCTCGTCCCAAGAATCATATTCGTCATTCACTATCGGAATGTGATCCTCGTAGTTATCGTCCTCACGAGGGTAGAGCGGGGCAAGTGTTGGCGATTGAGTTGGAATCTCACACGGGTTGCAGTCGTCTTGGTCCCACCGCACATTCACGTCATTGACAACCATTGTTGTCATTTCCTCCTCACCTCCATCAGATGACTCAGTAACAGACTGTAAGTTCAAATCCGAGTTGACAGCGTCGCCCGCGTTACTGTCCTGATCTTTTATACTTGCGTCCACGTCGGCTTCAGCTCCATC